CAACTGTAACATCAGTCAGATCATCAGACCTTTGTCATTGGGGTAAAAACCAAATCTAGTATACTCTTACTCAAAGTATAAGATTTGACTTTCTGTATAAGCTGGTGACTAATGCACACATTCAAAATATTTCTCGCCGCAACATTGCCTTTCGGTACTTCAAAAGTGTCCCAATCAATAGTGGGCAAGTTAAAGTCCCCTAGTATACTAGAGAAATTGCCCTAGTCATCTGTTCCAAAGCTTTATTGGAGCAAGAAGGTGTTCTGTAAATCAGAACCAACCGTGCTTTCTTATTCCTGGTCAAGATGTCAACACATAAAACCTCATAGCCATCCTTAACCGATTCGCTGAAGATTAGTTGATGACACAAAGACCTGGTTATCAAAAAAGCAACACCTCTCCCTCTTTTACATGTACGTTTACGCCTGTACACTTCATAAGTTGAGCAAAGATCACCAAAAAGCGACGCATTGCTGATATCATAGTCTCTCACCAACCAAGTTTCTGTAAGTCCTACTACGCATGGTGAGTTACCATAGAAGAGGAATTTGAGGTTAACAGTCAATATCCAAAATGTCAAGGATTTGACCTACACAGTTGTTGTCATGCCTGACTCGGCAATTGCTGGATTTTTCATGGCTTTCAGGAACTCCAATAAAAACCAATGATCTTCTTTTTTCCATGTCCTCCATTTGGCAGTCCTTTTCAACCGTGTCGTTTGATCGATCAGGAGCAGATCTAGTAACAGATTCTTTTGAACGATTGTTTTCTGCTCTAAGAGAAATGACTTCTTCCGATAGCTTCTTGACACTCTCCATTAACTCACGGTTGTTCTTCATCGTTTCCTCCATTTGATTCCGGCTATCAATGAGGTACGCCAGGATTGTCCTGACATAGAGTGGAATTTGTTAATCTTAAATCAGCGCATTCGTTGCGGTGTAGAACTCTGGCGACGTCTCTGGCGACCCATCGAAATTCAGCCTCTTTTTCTTTGACGCTGTGCCGGTGACAACGGATAGACCGGCATTTCCTTGATATCCTTGACCATCGATACAGATGAATAACCAGAATCAACGAGAATAGGCAGCGGTGTGGGTAAGTGGAGGGACATCCCAAATCGAAGTTTCGAACATTCGATCAGCCGAACTTGATCGATTATTCGACTACTCGATTAAGCGGAAATATAACCGCATACTCGAAAGCAATATTCAAATATGCAAATGCAATATTTGAATATTCGAACGCAATATTTGAATATTCGAGTTTTCGAACAACTGTTTTCCAAAACTTCTTAAATATTCAATAGTCGAATAACGATCTTTCAAAATTTCTCGAATATTCGAATGACACATTTCTCCGAGTCTTCGAATGAACGATTCAAATGAAGACCTTGTTCATTTATTCGATTTCGATTAACTGAATAAATGGACTTTCTCGAACACCACTATTTCGAAGTATTCAACTATTCGAATATTCGAGTACGAATATTCGGTTTCAACTAAATATAATACAGACTGTATGTCCCCTAATAATCAATGCTATATGCTTTTGTTGGAAAGCGTTTGAGAGGGTGAAGGGACTGTCCCCAGATCAAACTCAGTGTGAATGTACAAACGACATTTTGTAGATAACGATGCTCTATCGAAAGATATCCCGAGTTCGGTTAATGTAAAATGGCTTATTGCGGCAAAGAATCAATTATGAAAAGGCTCATGGGACCACCTAATAATGTGCTCAAGTATATTCATACTTACTTCCTTAGGAACTCCTGTGAGGGAGTAGAATAATCTACTAAATGACTATTCCTTGAAGTTATTCCCTATTTGATGGAAGACGTACATGTGATTGAACATCCGTGAAAACCTTTGCACCCACCGTATGAAAAAAGTCCACCAAAACAAAGCAATAAATCGGCTTGCAAGACCTCCGCTTTTTTCGAGAATCTTTCGTGACTGATGTTGTTTGCGCAATACACATGCGCCGAAAAGCGACCGTGCAATCATGATGCAGTCTACCAATTACAAAGAAATGTAATGAGGATTTGAATTCGCTGTCTATCCATGTGCATCACTTTCCATATGGCCACTTCGACCAAATGTCTTCCCTGGTTAGTCACAAGCGATTTAATACGTTTGCACAGCTGTTGGACCACACAGCCAGATCTTCAGCTGATCTGAGAAAAAATGACAAGTCATGAGAATTGTGCATCAGTCTTCGCGATCATGCGTGCATTTTAGAAAAATTGACTTTTCATCAAGACTTGAATCACCTGATATTTTGCGCCGGAGTTCCCCCAATACTTATAAGTAACTAGCTCCCTCAGCACAATAATGCACAGTTAGCTATGATATATGCTACCAAGTATCTACACACTTTTCTCAAAGATTTCGTCAAGGCCATACGCGCGGACCAACAAGCATCCTCGACTACGTACATATGCTAATTGGTCAACTCGACTGGTCAGGCCTAGGGTCCCGCAGGAGGTTGAGAGAAGTCCCCGGAATTTTTTCTCCTGCTGACCTCGCTCCGCGGAACTTTCGAAAACCGGTGCTGTGTAGTTAGCCCCAGTCGTGCCTTGTGGAACTCAGCTATACTTACAAAAACAGTTACTTTCATGACAAAACACTCAGTTTTAGTTCTCTTTGAAAGAGAAAACGCTATAAGGCATAATATCATTTATTTATGCTAGTATATAAGCAACCACAAGTCGGTAGGCGTGACAGTGAGGCAACCGAAAACACATGAGGTAGTCACACACATAATTGACATAAGAAGTAAATAAGAGGAGATGAGAAGAGAGAAGCGCACCAGATCAGAGGCTTGGTATGAGATTAAATGAAAAAACGCTATGACAAGAAAACCACTCGTGTTGCTGTGAGAGATTCAGAGAGATCGAATTATAGTCGAGCGTCGATATCAATAAATGAGGTACACGTAAAAAATCGGTGTCAATGCAACAAAAACAACACGGGGTGATTAGAGAAGATAATGGAAGAGAGCGCAGAAGATATGAGGCAGAGATGACTACTCATCAACAGAAGAAATCAATAATAAGTGGAGGTCGGAAAATTCAAATTTTCTCGAAGTGCAAAGGCATTCCCGTGGAACAGATCAGAAGTCAAAATAAGAATCGACAGACTACGAAAACTTTGGCACATAACATAAAGAAGCGTACATACATCGATATTCTCCTCGTTTTGTAGGCGAAACTTCAATCCGCAAGCGGCACACAGTGCAATTCTTGAAGCAGTGAAGCTTTTCAGTCGATACTGGTTTGGGATTGCTACCGCAAATGTTCGGCCTAGAAAGAGTAATTTACTATAAAAATTTGCAACAAAACGACGAGAAGGAAAACGCGGCTCAACGGCTTCGCAAAAACGGCTGCGAACCTTCTGACCAACAAACAAGAGAATGACCTTACAAGGAAATTATTAGAAGTCGAATTCACCCCTCCGGACACTTTTATGATGCATACCATTGTATGCTGCATAAAATGCTGACTCCAATTGTTCTTCCACATCTGCTTAACACTTTCGTGAGGGAAGTAATGAGCAGTTTTACTGCAAAGAAATCATGAACTTTACCATTATCCGGGCCCATTTCTTCAGAAAAGAATATTGCATCTTTCCTTGCACCAAATATGGTCATAACTTCATAGAAAGGAATGTCAACCTCCTGCCACGTACCAAAGAAAAATTGACACGTTATTTGCAGGTTCAAGAGGTTTTACAAAGAGTTTGTTTAGCCTATATACCTACCAGTGTAACTATGATCTATTTGTTAATCAATAATGGCCCTATTTTTAGCCAGGTGCTTCAAGCAATCATTTATATTTTTTCCTCGGCTAAATTTGCATGGCTGCAACGATTCAAAGGAAGTGATAATTTCAAATCACTGTTGAAAGCGATCACGATGTTCCAATAAACATTTTGGATTGTTTTGCTTTCAAAAACGCTGAACAACATGTGATTCATTTCAATGGCTCTCATACTCCACCGGAAATGATTTTGAAAAAAATGCAAAATTTGTCTAACTGAGCCGAAACGTGTTAATTTTCATTCTGACACGTGGCAGGGTGATAGTTCCCATATAGGATACATGCAAAATTCTTCAGGCAAAAGTACACAATTTGTGAAAGCTGGATTTGAAAATATGGGTCCATATAACGCAAAAATACCGAATCGTGCAATCAAATATAGGACATTTGAAAAATCGTGACAATGGTGCGACCGCGCGCGACATGCACGCCACTTCCGGAAATCGCATTTTCTTGGTTTTTATCTCTAATCAAATGGTTTTTTTGCTTTCTTTGATGATACTCAGTCACTGGGAATGACTGAGCTGAACGTTGAAGTGATGACTTATTGTATGAGCGTTTTATGCTTCTGTGGGCGCAAAGTCCGCAATAAAATGCGTCGTCACGATTTTATAAATGAACCATACCTTTGAGCATAGACTCTGTGTCACTTAGGTGATGTTTTGGAGCAGCAATGAGACGAAAACGGATCGGATGTGTTAGAATTCACAACTTGCATATACAGTTTCAGATGAAACAGTAAATTTGGAATTGCATTCTATGCATTCTTGGCATAGAATTTGCATTGTATGCTGCATCTTTGGGGCATAATTTGTCAGGAATTCTGCTACGATGAGCATTCTTTTGTTAGAATTATTGGACTTGGGGCTACAAAACGAGACTTGAAAGACAAAGACATCTCAACTCAAAGGATGGTGGGCAAAACTTCGGTCACTCTCTCATGAGTAGAACGTTAAACTGCTACAATCATGTGTGCCTACAGTGTAGACATATAAGCTGTCTCCTTCCCTCGAATGTAAAAAGAAATAAGTTACTGATTGCAACTGGAAAAGCGGCAGAACTCCACATGGAAAAGAAGGTGGAAGAATTTGCTTCTGAAATAAGCCATCTCAACAAACAAAATATAAAACATATCTACGCAGTCAGCAGCTCAAAGGCGAAGTCTCCGAAGAGTCGAGTTTAAATGCGGCATGCCGTCTTTGAGGGTGCATCGTACGCAACTCAATTGATCGACGTCTGTTTTGGGAGAGCGCCCGTCTTGTTTGTTTACGACGAGTTTTCTTGGCTTCACGTTTACACTGTTCGCTGCTTTTGAAGTTTTGTGCGGTTCATTGAACTGTTTGTAGGTGGGTTGTCTAACCATTCGTTTTTGCGACTTTGTGCGGCTTATCTCTTATTACTGTTTTTTGTAGTGTGTCTACTCCACATCAATGTTGCACCACATCATTTTTGTTTTTTTCTTTTCCTTTTGTGAGTGTCATAAGCTTTTATATAAGGGAAGTTGGTGCTATTTTTGGCCTTCGGCGCTCGCCATTCGAGGCGGGGAGGGGGGGGGGGGGGAGCGGACGTCACTGCGGTTGAGTCCGCCCATCGTCGGCAGGCGCCTGGCTGCAGTCGCTTGACACCCTCCAAGCTGAGTGACAGCCAAGCTTATTGGGTCACACGGCTTATTTCTTGTCTTAGGACATAATCACCACTTTGGCAAAGTTTTTGTGCTCGTTTGGCAATTACCGACCAAAAAGCTGAGTTGTGCAGAAATAAACGCAAGTTCTTCCAGTAAACACTGGACTTTAGTCGATCAACCATTTCATTTCAATAAGCAACATGTTGAACTAATAACATGCCCCAATATATCGACCGCGCACTTCGCCAAAACTCGCCACTCTAGAAGTTTCCGCCGCTTGATTGTTGTTCTCTGTCGTAGGTCGCAACAGCTTCCATCGCGCATGGTCGTCTGAAACTCCTGTCATAAAAATTCCCAGAAAAAATTGTTTTGCTCATATTTCCATGAACTCGATACTTACTGCTTCTCTTCGGCATCAAATTACTAACGAGGAAATGCTCAGAACTTAACCCAGCCATTCCAAACATGATGTACATGATCGGCTCGTCTTAAATCGCTGCTTTCAAATATTTCAAATATATAATATGTTTATATCTACCAAGCGACTTTCTGAGAGGAGTCTTGAACGTTTGAATATGAGAGACTTTTTGAGCTCCAGCGAATATACTTCGCTGAAAAGCGGCCTGGTGGCGCGGATTTCCATGGCAACGGTTATTTTAATTCCACGGAAGTAGCACATTCACCAAAAACTCAAATAAGTGTTTTTGAAACGTGTTTCGTGGAACATGTGCCACAGAACACTCACTAATCGCACGTTTAGACGCTCATAACTGCTTCCAAATAGTCGCTTTGCAGATAATAAACATATATTTGAAATCAGCGCTTCAAGACGAGTCCGACGATATACAGCATGTCTGGTATGGCTGGGTTAAGTTCTGACCATTCCCTGCTTATCTTTTCTAATTTCAGAGTCCTTCTAATATCCTTTTCTTTACATTGACCACTTTGCATACATTCGCATTTTTTCGATCATGTATTGCTTTGACCAGGTACCGTATCTGTTATACGCAAAATTTTAGCGCTTGGGATTTATTGGCCCGAAATGGACCATGGAAAAGCGGTTCGTAGAAATGGATGTCCACTTCTCCTGCTTGTTAAGCTCATGCTTCAGGTACTTCATGTGAATTTAACTCTCATTCTCCTAAACATGAAAGCAGGCATTTTTGTATCCCTTTCATTGCACCATTACTTTTTATTCTTGTTTACATCTAGTTGACTTGCTCTTATCTTGCCGTGCACTTACACCGCCTTGCATCTGTTTGATAAAAAAACAACAAGTGGAATGTGTTTTAGATCCATGGAGGATCAGTTGAATGATAGTTTAAAGCAGTGCTTTTATCCAAGAAAAATTTTTGTTCGATCTTTTATCTGCTGCTTCTTCAACGTTCTTTCCTGCGATTTTATATCACATTCTCTTCCCGTTTTCGAGAAGACTTCCAAAAAAGCTGGCTTCTAATTCCAAAACCACAAACTTTGAAGCCATTTATGCATCACTGAGTAATTTTGAAGCTCATCAAAAATAGCTGAATATCGCTTGGTCGGTTTCACTCAGACCGCCAAAAGAATTTGTCAGCGAATACTGCTCTAGCAATTTTTGTCCCTATTATTTGCTTGGAGGAAATTTTGCTTTTTTGTGATTCAGAGTAAAAAATCCTCTTCCTGTTTGCAATTTTAGTGCATTTTTTGTGTCATAGGGAAGTGCGATAAATCTCTTTTTTTTTCACAAAGCTTAGGCAATTAATCCGGTCACGTTCCTGCGTGCAGAACCGTACATTTCTATTTATATTTTGCACCTTTTTATGCGCCATGAAGTGCGCAATACTGCTTAATTGGTCTTTTCACATTTTTGCTTTTCTGCTGCGAGATTAAAATCTATTGTGAAAGTGTGCATGCGACGGTGATTCATGTCTGATGTGTAGGGAAGAGATGAAGAAGAAATTAAAAGCACCGTTGCTCATATAAAAACGTCTAATGAATGTTTTAGATCTCCGTATCCGCAGCTCAGGGATTGAACGAGTTAGCGAAATCCGCAGTGGTGACGTTTGAACCGCCAATGCTGCATGATCTTATCGAAGGTGGAAACCACACCGTCTCTGTTGCGTTGAAGATTCCTGAACTTGAATTCGCTTCTCTTCCTGACAAACCTTATAAGCTGAGCTTAGGGTAAGTTGAATCCAATTGTTAGCATGTCTGGCTCTCAGGCTGAGAGTGCTGCTGCTCTATGTTCTCAGTACTAAAAAAGTTGCGTAGAGTTTTCTAACATTAGGATAATTCTTCTTGCATTTATTGGAGAAGTTTGGGGAAGGACGATTTCATGCGGTTCCACTGCTCTTTTTGCTTACTTTTTGCGTTCAGAGAATCTCGTTGAATGTTTCTATCGCTCTTCAAATGTTTCACAAGAGGCAAGTAATTGTATTGCTGCTCAAGCCTGCAAAACTAGATTGAAGACATTTTTATACTCTTCTTCTTTTCGTTGCCACACCTTTCTCTTAATATGTTAGTGTTGATGGGGACCGAATTTTTTTCGGTGAATCAGTGTCAATGGGATCAGAGTTCACCGTGAGGAGATTAAAGTTGGGCCCATCTCGCGTACCCTCGTGAAACATGTGTATCGATGGGTTTGAGGGTTAAGACTGGGTTCATACTGATCCGTAAGTTCTGACAGTTCCATCATCGAGCGCTGTGCTGGAACTATTCCCTTACGGATTAGTATGAACCTAGCCTAATGAGTCGCGCTTACGTGGTGTCGACAATTCTTGCGCGTAGAAAAATGGCTATGAGGCGCGAAACAAGAATATCCTACAAGCCATTTTTACGCGCAAATATTGTCTTCAATGCTTTTTCCGCGAAAATCAACTCATGCATTTTGTATCCATCAAATTTCTAGTGTATGCAGGGCTCGGCACAGGTGGCTTATAAGCAAGCTGAATATCGTTCTTGGGACAAAAAGCAAAGGCGGTTGTTTTTGTGCCCGAAAAGACACAATTGCGACGTTTTTTTTTGGTCGACATTTCGTTTTTCGGAGATTCTTAAAGGATTTCCAGGGTCAAAGGAGACTTCGTAAAAATTCGTAAAAGTCAAGGGGGACACCGTTTTTTTTTGCATTTTCAACTGGCCACCTCGTGCCGAGCCCTGAGTGTATGTCTCTATGGCGTGGATGAAAGTATAGATTCTGTATCAGCTGTGCATAGGAAACTTCTTACTTTTTTGGGAATCCCAAATTTGTTTCAACTTGTTTAGGGTTTGTAGTTTATCATCATTTACACAAGGCCATTTGAAATGTCATTTATATCTGTTTTGCGAACCTCTCATATTGTTATGTTTGAAGAAATGATGAGGAAGATGTTCACATTTGAATGGTGTTATAGATCACTTCTTTTTTAGGTCGTTCCATCCAGATATTGCAGTCTCTCCAAGTAATGCTGATGTTACAAAGTCATCGTTCCGGTTTGACAACTCGTCCAATTATTACACAGTTGATGTGAGTTTGCAGGGGGTTTTTTGCAATTCGCTGATCTAATGTTCTTCCCATTTATAGACAGAAATGATTGTGCACGCAAAATTGTTAGGAAAAACAGGTCTACGTCTCCGCTTGGTACGTGCAGAGAACTGGAATGAGGTCGATGATTCGTGGAAGGTAGCAAGGGTTTTTCTAGCACTTCGCCAAGGTCGTATTCTAAGTGGCACGTTTTGAGGTACCTGAGCCTTTGGACGATAGCACGAACAATATATTGGATGTCTGGGTGAGGAGAAGTTTGGAATCTGAGAAACTTACACATATCTTTGTGGCATCGGTGGTAGTACTGATCACGTTTGCGAATATTCTTATGGGATGTGAGGTACGTTGGAAGGAAACAAGCTGAGGGTTTTGAATGAATGAAGTTGGAAAAAATAGAACAATTCTAGCTGGACATGGCCACAGTATTTGCCACCATAAAACGGCCAGTGGGTCCTACGATTGGATTCTTTGCCCAGTTTGTGATTATGCCGTTGGTAAGCTCTTTTTCCTCGACCTTTTTGTTTACTCCACCGTCTTTTTCACATTTTTTTGATTTTTTGACTTGTATGGGCACAGCAGTAGATTATTGAGAAATTCGTGAAACTCATTATCTCGATTTTCAGAAAATTTCATTAGGAAATGTGTTTTAGCTCTCCTACGCAATCGCCAAGTCAGTCTTTGTATCTCGTGGATTGTACTCCATGGCTCTTGGTCTTTTCATCTGCGGTTGCTCACCTGGTGGTGGTGCTTCCAACTTTTGGACTCTTCTTTTAGATGGAAATGTTAATCTGTCAGTGACCATGACATTCATTTCTACGCTTGCTTCACTGTGTGAGTTCTTTGGTCTGGGCCCAAGCTCTAGTTTGTTTATGCAGCTTCGTAGTTGAATGCTAATTTATTTAGTCATGATGCCATTTTGGATTTCTATGCTTGGCAAAGAATTTTTACAGGGATTCTCTTCAGAAACAAAAATCTATATTCCATATGGTGAGTGATCGCGTCTCTTATCCCTCCTACATTTGACTCCCTGTTTATAGGTAAAATTACCCGCTCGTTGATCTCATTGGTTGTTCCACTACTTATTGGTGTCGCTATCAAAAAGTGGAAGCCCGAATGGGCAGCGAAATCACGCAAGGTATGTTTTTTTGAAACTTGCAATGCAGGATTATAATTTGCCTTTAATTTCCGGTCAGAAGAATTTTGATAACCTCGTTATCGGTAGCTATTGCATCAGATTATTTTCGTTGCAATAGTACAAATAGCGATCCGCTTACTTAGTAGTTGCACGTATGGCGGCTTTTCACGCGAAGAAAAGCGGTTTTTCATATGCAGCGAAGAACTAGTTTGTAAGCGGAGTCGTAACTGGCGAATGAATGCAGATCTGCAGTGTTGCTAGCATAGGGATGAAGTGCTAGTGGAATGAAAAAGAGGAAATGCGTCGGTATTATGTTAGTGGAGGAAACGGAAAGCTGTTACCATCAAAAGTTTTTTTTTTGTGAAAAGATGATCCGGATTTTTTTTTGCCTCTAACTAGAGACTGCGCTGTTTGCATCAGTGGGCATACGTGTGCAAGCGGGCAACATGGCCTCTCCAGGGTGAAGAGGGTCATAGGGGTCCCGCTGTCCAGGGTGAAGGGGGTATGAGGGCCTGCATTGTGAAATTGTAGTCTCGGGTTAAAGTCGAATATTGGGATTTATACGCTAAAACTCGGGAACAAAAACTGGAAGAAGTGAGACTAAGAAATCAACACTTTAAGCAAAATTATAAAGCTATCGGCATTATTAAGATCAAATCTAGTGACTTGCTGAAATAATAAGTGTAATAAATGAACTTTGATGATCGGAAAGGATTTTACTGTAGGGTGGAGGTGGTCGTAATTGTTTTTCTAAAACAGGGCCCGGCACGAGGTGGGCAAACGGGGTTTTCCAAAACGAATACCCCTTTGATCCCAGTAAGTTTTACGAATACTCCCTTGAGCCCAAAAATGACGTTTTGTGCTTGTGCGACGAGATTACCGGCCACACTTCGCCTAAAAGCGCTCAAAAGCGCCCAAATTGCTCAAATTCCTCATATTACTCAAATGGCTGTACCAAGATAGGAAACAGGAAAAAAATAAGCAAGAAAAATGATTAAGGAATGAGAAAATATCAAAGAAACGCAGTCATAGGAATGCGAGACGCCGTTCCCGCGCGTATCGATTGACTGGGGCGCGCTTTCTATCTTAGAAAGCTGGGCTGCTGATGCCATTTTGGGCTCTAATAAGGACAAGAGGAGGAGTTTCGGAACCAAAATTTCACCATGTAGTAAACTTTGGGTGTACAACAGATTTATGTAAAAATTTTGAGAAAATTATGTGAATTGAAAGTTTTGCCGACCTCAGGTGGGAATTAGGTCGGCAAATGCCGACCTAATTTGGAAATAAGTTAAGGAAACTCTTCATTCACATAAGTTTTTCATAATATTTCATATTTTATTACTTAGTCCTATTGCGCATATACACACCGAAGCCCGCGCGATTTCGTTACCTCTGCGTTACAAACGAGCCATTTTTCCATTTCTTTGGTAGCGCAAAATTTCCAGAAAAAAGTTTGCCACAGCCTTCAGTCACATAATTTCTTAATGAAATTCCTCAGTTAAGCCCAAGCCCGTGTGCATGTACTTACCAAGTTTCATACCATATCGTTCATCTGCGCTTTCCAAACGAGCCGTTTAAATTCACATTTTCATTTACCAGTTTTGCGAAATTCTCGGAAAAAATGCTAATTACTCGTTCCGTTCACATAAGTTTTTCATAATTTTTCATACCATGTTTCCACTAGCCTCTGTCCGTTCGCACACAAAATTTGGTGCCATATCGTTACACACACATTGAGAACTAGTCATGTTCAGTTATAAATAGCATCGCTTGGACGACGTCGCGCGTGCGGCACTTAGCGACGGCGCGGTTTGACGCGCGCGAACTCCAGTGTTCGCCTGTTGAGGCACATAACATGTCAAGATAAGTAGCGAGCATGAACTACCAATTTTTTCCGGGGCTCCGCCCCGGACCCCGCAAAAACGATTTCCCCTTTGCTTTTTGGCCCCAAAACGATTTCCAGCTTGTCATTTGCCGACCTCGTGCCGGGCCCTGTTCTAAAACCAAGGGAATTTTTTTTATAAAAATTTATAACTTCACTATATGAAAAGCTAGAAGAGTCTTTTGCACTTTATTGGGATCCTCGGTCATCCGCTTTCAGAAAATATATAGGTTGCCGGAAAAAAGGAATTTTCCTATCGGGTGAAAGGGGTCGTGGTCGTTTTTCCGGAATTAAGCCAATTTTTAAGTTGAAAAAATCATAACGATCTTATATGAGAAGCTGAGAGAGTGTTTAGGTGTTCATTGAATTCCTCTCGTCATCCGCTTTCAGAAAATATATAGGTAGTGGGGAGAGGGATGCTAAAAGTACGTGGTGAAAGGGGGGGGGGGAGGAACATGGTATAATGGAAATGTTCCTTTCTGTACTCCAAAAGCGTCGTTTTGAGGAGCTAAAGGAACATCCATTATACCATGTTCCTCCCCCTTTCACCACGTAGTTTTAGCATCCCTTTCCCCATTACCTATTTATTTTTTGAAAGCGGACGACGAGAGGAATTCAATGAACACCTAAACTATCTCCAGCTTCTCATATAAAAATATAATTTTCTTAAATCAAAAATTGACTTTATTCCGGAAAAACGACCACGACCCCAATCACCCGATAGGAAAATCCCTTTTTTCCGGCAACCTACTTATTTTCTGAAAGCGGATAACCAGAGGATCCCAATGGAATGCAAACGACTCTTCTAGCTTTTCAAATTGTAAAGTTAAAAATTTTCATAAAAAAAGTTCCCTTAAAAAACAATTACGACCACCTCCACCCTACAGTAAAATCCTTTCTTTTCTGGCAAGCTATATATATATTCTGAAAGCTTCCAACAAGAGCAGTTCAATATATAGCTAGAGACTCTCCTCTTCTCATATGAAAAAGTTACAATTTTTTATAAAAAATTATTCAGTTTTGAAAGAATGACTAAAACTATCTCTACCTAGCGGGAAAAATCACTCTTTTTTCTGGAAAGCTGTATGTTTTCTGAAAGCGGATGAGAACTACACTTCCAAAGACTAAGCTAATTATAAAAGTTGGAACAATGACTCTTTATGGAATCATTCAATGACTTCACGGTTTCCGCATCTGCTTAAAAAATTTATTCCTCTTCAAGAATGCAATTCAGTTGCGCACCAATCATCAAAGTTCATTTATTATTTCACGTATTATTTCAGCAAATACATGAGTAACTTCATTGACATATATGCACGAAGGCTTCACACGTATATTTTTCTCCAAGCTTTTTTGTCGTTCTCCAGAAGTGAACAATAGGCGGTTCTGAGTGAACCTGCAAATAAATCTTGACAATCGTAATAATAATATTTAAAATCAACATGTCACTAAATTCAATTTTAATAATGCCGATAGTTCTATAATTTTGCTTGAAATGTTGATTTCTCAGTCTCACTTCTTCCAGTTCCTCATCGGTCGTGGGTGAAAGGGTGTCAGCTGGGTTCCGGCCCAGGGGTGAAAGGGGTAGGAACACATTATCCCCTTTTCACATGTATGTCAGTGGGAGCGTTCCAAATTTTTGAGTAATATTTTTTCTGCAGGACTCGTATGTCAGTAGTTTTGTCTGGGGTTGCAACAGGTCTACACATAGAGAACTGAAAATTTTGCACTTTTACTGATTTTTTTTTTTAGATTATGCGCCCGTTCATCATATTTGTATTGATATTCGTGATATGCTTTGGCGCCGTTGCAAATATATACATGTTCAAAATGATCACAATGCCGGCATTATTAGGGTGAGTCACTTGCAGAAAAACAAAATTTTGATCTTTGATTATCATTTTTTTGTTGAAACCACGACGCGAAAGTTTGCATGAAGTTTTTATTTTTGGTCTTGTCTATAAAGCGTCAAAAAAAGTCAAGAAGAAGTATTATTGAATATTGGAACATATTTTAGTGGTCTCCTACTTCCATGGTGCGGTTTCATGTTTGGTTGTTTTGCTTCGATTATCACACGTCGTCCACCCGGTGACGTTACAGCCATCGCCATAGAGACGGGCATACAGAATACGGGAATTGCTATCTTGGTCTTGAAGGTATAAATTAACTGTTATTACTATGTTATGGTCACTCATAGTTAGTGCTAAGGGCTGCACATCAACGACATATTCATGCGCAATAATTTTGGGTTACGGTAACCTCCAATTAAGCATTCACATTAGAAATTTATATCGCGGTCTGCTAGACTATGTTTACTAATCGTATATGTTGCTGTGGTCCATAACTGATGAAGTAATGCTGAGAGTCATAGAACCAGAATTGCAAATTATATTTGCGTGGAATATTTGATTCTACCTGTCCACCTATTGGCGACTATCGCATGTTAGTCTGCTAATGCGATAGGGCTCGTGAGGAAATTGCTACGAATGTTAATGGCTCACGCGATGAGGTGGTGGAAAGCTTCTTGATTGCGTGAAGATGTTGCTAATGGGAATGTTGGATGAAATGGGCTTGTGATCATTGGTATAACGAATTCTGCAAGGTTCATAGTTCAGGCGAAATTGCGGGATTAATGAGCTTTCTGAGAGCGACCATCAATTCCGCGGTGGAACTATGATAATTGAATTTAGTGTCAACTTTATGATTGCATCTTCGTTCCGCAGCATTTTTCCAACATGTAGAAATGATTCATTGGTTTAATGCTAAACATCAAGAACATATCTATTAACAACAACGACTGTTTCTTTTTCTATAATGCTTTGGGAGCAATCCTTAGTCTTTTGGCCTATAAAACTAGGGTTGATGACCAGAACCCAACCTATAATAGCTGTTACAAAAAAACCTGAGCTTGCCAATCAAATTATTCGTTTCATCTTCTTGATAAGGTGATGTGCATGTAACCGGTAATATATCCATGTTAGTAACGGAAACATGCCCATTTCATTTGGTTTGCTCACTGAGTTTTGATATGAGTTTTTAATGGCCATTATATGGAGTTAAGTGTCACTGACATGAGAGATGTGATTTCCACAAGTCTCTAGGGAGATGTCTGGGGAGAATAAACAATTCCAAAACATCTGTCAACTTTGCCCCAATGTGTCCTTTCTGTATGGTGCAGCAAAATTTTACTTTGGAAAAGTAATGTTTGACTTTGAGAGCTGTTCTGTACCTTATTGGACCTTAGAGAAAGGAGGAAATTTTATTGGTTTGAAAATTTGTATCAAACCATAATTTTTGATTGCATACCTTAACTATTATTGCAACGCTTTTTTATTCTTATGTGATTATTTTCCTGTTTTCGCTGATTTTGCTTTCTAAATTCAGTCTGTCACTAACAATAGAAGCGGAAAACGCGTAATCACGAACAAAGGGCACATCGGAAATTAGCGGAAGTCGCCGACTGCATGTTACATTTCTAGTGCTCGCGATATTCGTACTCTGACATGAGTACGTTTACCATATGTATGAACTTGGAGTGTAAGTCTTATCGACAGAAGTATATGAGAACTTGGGTGTCTTAGGGTGGAAGAAGATTATTAGTAACGTCAAATGCAATTCTGAAGTTTATTGTTGAAAATGCGTTTTCCAGGCCTCATTCGCCCAACCGGATGCAGATATAGGAGCTGTGCTTCCAATATTGGTTGCATGTTTCACGCCTGGTCCTCTTCTTCTTGGAGCGGGTGTACATATGGCTTTCAAAGCTTTGAAGAAGCGCAGCGCTAATGTAGGTCTTTTAGAGAATAAAGATGTTAAGAAGCAGAGCAACCAGTCTGTAGCTTCCAAAAAGCCCATTTGCCCCTTATTGACTAATTGAGTATGTTTTTAGACGAGCGAAGAGAAGTTGCCAGCAGTTGCGCAAGAAATAGCAGCCGGCGGTCCATCGTCTGTAGCTCTTTTGGAACAAGCTGATGCGAAGATGGGGGAGGAGAATGGAAATGAGGTTCTAAAAATTGCAGAAGGCACATCGGCTTGAGTCATGAGTGAATTCTCTGTTTTGCCTTGACTTGCATTATGAATCTGGTGACTTTCTGGAGAGGTATAATCTTTCATGTAATCTCTAAATAAGCGTAATACCCCACTATATCTCATTCTCCACTCTTGCATTCTATTTAATGATCTGCACTTTTCATTAGGAGCTTAGATACATGTGATACTTTTTGTTTTTACAGATTTTTTTGAAGTTCTATTTCAAAGTTGTGTAATAGAAGCGTTGAGCTTTATTGTTGAACGTGATAATGTTTTCGGTTTGTTTTAGATTTTTATTCACAAAATTTAGTCCCACAAACTTTATGCACACAAGATGTCTGTTCTAGGTTTGGTTTTATGTACGACATATCATTGTTTATCTGACTGATTAGATTTTGAGATTTATATTGTAATAAACCTATCTAGCACTCTGGACGTACATGACGATGAAACCGTTGTTGGTTCCCATGCAACCTTATGAATCATCGCATTTGAATAAGCTCTCAAAATAAGCGACGAACACTCCGAGATCGAGATTACATTCCGGAACAGATCTAGTGGGAAGCGGAAATACGCCGCTATGATGTTAATGACGCACGAGTCTATGAATCATTGCTTTGGGTTAGATTAGGGAAACATTTTTTCTCGCAGTACAGATTTTGTACCCCAGCATTCAGCTCACACCTGTCTCGCACCTTTAGATGACGTAGGAATTTTGCATTTCAAGAATTTCCTCTTTCACCTGACTAAGTCCCTTATACATCTGTTTTTTGGCATAGGCCGAAATAAAATTATTGCCGTTAACACTAACAAGGTGATGCATTTGAGAAATAATCAAAAAGTGTTCAGAGCCAAGAAGAAGATGAACTATGCGAGCTATGATTGTAAACAAGTGGCATGATTTATTCACTGGATTCTGAGCAGTTTGAAGAAGAATACCAAGTTTGCCTATGCAGTTAGGATAGGCTGTGGTAATGAATCAGCAATCGGCCGGATGTCTAGAGCCTCTCGCAGTAAATTTTTTTTTGTAATCATGCCCAACATAGATGCCATCCAAGTGGTCAAAATAACGTAAGAAAAGTGCGAAAACATCTTTCCGGTCAGATTCTTCTGAATGCTTGTTAAATTAGAAGGGCGCAAAAGTTGCTTTAAAAGGACTTTTTTTGAAGCTTGGTTGCGATGCTTTTTGAAAGAGACATTTCTTCGAAGGAACCCAGTACGTGACCAGAAAAAAATTCTCGAAACTTCATAGATAAGTCCGCTTGTCTGAAGCTTACAATTTTAGCTTCATAGTTTACCGATCCTACAAAACCTGAGGCTGAAGGAAAAAATACTGCGACAGAATTGAAACGCTCTAGTGATGTTGTGAAGACATCAGAATTTGAAAATTGTGTAAAAGAAGGGATTTGGCCAACAGCTCTAGGAAGATTCAAAAGATTGTTCAAAATTACACGAACAATACTCTCTAACTCCTATATTAATTGATTTCAATGGTAAGTAGTAAAATTGTTTCCGATAGTAAAACGCCCGTGTTTTGACCACTTTTTACAGCACTAATTCTAAGCACCATCTACAGTCGCTTGCACTGGAAGTAGCTCTTCATAAACTTTCTATCTCTTTGCTGGAAAATTACATATCGATGTACAATCCTGGCCGTGTCAGCCCTTATATTTCGAACCTATCTGCGAGATCAGCATAGCACAGCTTGAATTGACCTTAAGCGAGTTTACATATGAAGGGAAGCATTTTTGAGACACAAACCCAACTGATTCAATAATGATGTTCACTCGGTTTACATAGTTTTTGACTCGCGGAAAGCGTGCTGTGTAAACGTTGACGAGAGAGATGCTCACCCAAGCAGTTGTCGACTCTTATTGATGAGGATATTTTTTCCTGCAGCGGTAGTGGGCGGTAAACACTTACATTCACGTACTGAACAAAAAAAGTTGCATGTTGTTTGCAGCAACTGCTGCAAAATCGCTTCCTTCTTTCTTTGACCCTAAATCTGTCAAGATTCAATGACTCAAGAACTCCAACGGATTAGAGCACATGTGTTATGTACCCCTGCATCGATGAAACCTTTATAGATCACATGAACTAATTTTTTGGGAAAGCGATGTGTCGCAATGGAGCAGTGGTGATGGTAAACAACAGACGAGCAAAGCAAGTCATCCTTAATTCTAGCTTATAAGTTCGATTTTTTTCGGGAGAACAAAAAATGCAAGCTATTGCTGCCAAATTTTGACTAACTCCGCGCTCTAGATATCAGATAAGCCCGTTTACAAATGAATTTTATTTCAAATTGGCCGGCAAACTCGGCTCCGCCCGGCCCTGTCAGTAATGTTTCCGTAATCAGCAAGCTCATTTATCCCCTCTCCGCCAATAGCGTAGCTCAAACTTTGCCAAAATTGATGAAATCAAATAAGTAGTCTATGACACTCGCCCCGCCCCGAAATGCATGTGTGCCAAGTTTGGTCCGGATCGGTTCAGAAATAAAAATTTCTATAAGGAACGTACATACACACAGATACACAAAACTGACACAAACAGACAATCAGCTTTATTCATACAGAAGATGGTCTCGGCGTAGGAATTCTTTATCGCCTCATGGTCTAACGTCTAGACGTGTTTTCTACGTTTTTTTGTTGTCTCAAAAGTAAACCGTATTCTTGAATAAATCAAACTGTTTTTGTTTTCCTGGCAGACTTGGGGTACCATTCGATAGAGCGAAGCAAGCTCTGCAAAATGACCATCAAGGGTCCGCCTAAGTCGCATTCCGTGTAAAGTTTGAAGCAAAAATCGAAAGAAGATTTATCACCTGAAAATTAGATTATGCGAAGAATAGTCGTACGGAACTCAAACTTGGCCATTATACATAGACATAGTAGTACTCAAATATGCCTTCAATGGATTTTGTCGAGCTTAGAAAGCGAGAAAAAAGAGATAGTTTGAAAATGGCAAACTCCGCCCTCAGCCCCTCCCACAATGTGGTTGTATACTACAAGCCTTACTGAGTATCACCTCAAAGCTACACCCCTGTATGTGCTCTTATAATTGAGAAATAAAAAGTTTTACATGAAAAACCCGAAAAAAGTGGCATTTTGGCATTCTGGGACCCCCTTTGTTTCACAGTTTTGAGCTCCGTAGAAAACAACCGGAAACATTTTTCGGTACTACCATTGTCTACAGTATAAAGTTTGAGTTGGAAGTCCGTAGACATTTTCTAGAAGGAGACCCGATTTTTAGGATAGCTGAAAAATTCTGTTTGGATCAAAATGTTACCTGGATAGCGACTTAGACGGTTTTTTGATGGTTATTTTGTAGAGCTTGCTTCGCTCTATCGAATGGTGCTCCAAGCCTGCCAAGAAAACAAATACAATTTGATTCATTTAAATACGGTTTACTTTTGGGATAATCTAATACAAACCTATTTTGCACATGAGCACACACGCAGTACGCCACAACGCTCTATTCATACAAACGGCACCTCTCTATACTTCTTACACGGAATGCATGTTTAATTGAAGTGCCCTTTTCAGATGGTATGTATATCATATTAAAGGGCATAAAATGCTGATTCGAAATCTGCTTCCCTTATCTGCGGAACCCCCCAAAATGGTCGGCCGCCTCATCGTGGCGTGGGGTGACACTGGGTGTCGAACTGCGATGCACAGCCGAGTGTATACTCTGGCAGGGCCTCCGAAGGGGTTCGACGTTTCCGGTTTCGGCCGGATGCCTAGCTAAGAGCCGGCCAGGCCAGATCCACCGCCGTCTGGTTTTCAGGTCGCTAGGCGGTTCTCCCCGCTCCAAGCCCGGGGTCAGCGATCGCCCCGTGGAAATCAAGAATAGGCCTAGTAAGTCTGCTCTTGTAGGGAAAAAATTTCATTACTCTACCAGTTAGAAGAATAGAAAGAAACCCTGCACATCGGATCCCGCCTACGGCGCCGGGTGGTTACAAGACTGATGTCAGGGTACTCAGGGCGTCTTTTGGACTGGACAAAAACAACATGTCTGCCCGGACGACACGCCACGGAGACTGCCTCATGCTCTGCACCTACCAGGCCAGGACAGTCTCCACAAACGCCGAATTCCACGCTCTTCTCGACGCTGCAGAGCACATCAAGTACCACATCATCGCTCTGCAGGAAACGAAGTCCAGGAAGAAGGACGTGCGACAAATGAGTGATGGGACCCTCATCATTCGTGGTGAAAAGGTTCCATCACGAAACGTGGGAGGCGTTGGCTTTGTCGTCCACCATCCAACGTCCATCTTGTCGATTCGCACGAGATCCTATCACCCCGACTAGCCATCCTACCACTACGCCCTCCACATCAGAAGACCATCAGCATTATCAACTGCTACTCTCCAACATCAGCAGCTGACGACTCAGAACTAGATGCTTTCTACGAAGACGTGGAGGTGGTCGTCCGCAACGAAAAATCCTTCTGCAAGTATGTTGTGGGCGACTTCAATGCGAAAATCGGGATGCCGCTAGAAAAGGAATATAGAATCGGGAAGTTTGGATATGGGCTCCGGAACGAAAACGGCAACCGTCTCGCTGAGCTTCTCTCCGCCGCACGACTCTTCCATGGAAATTCCATCTTCATGAAGAAATAACATCGAAGGTGGACAAGTGAATCGCCCAACGGAACGACTCACGCGGATATCGACCACATTCTCACCAACCGAAGGTGGAGCTTGCTCGATGTCTCAGTAGTTCCATCCTTCTGCAGTGCCTCCGATCACCGCCTCCTTCGTGCGAATATACGACTCAGCCGAAGGCTGGCAAAGAAAGTCTGTCATTGTGCCGCGAGAAGGAAGGATTTCGTTTTTGACGGTAACAGGCTGGAGGAGCTCATATCAAGATGTGACTGGCCCATTGAGGAGGACCCAACTTACGACTACGACCTGCTTCTGAAAGGATTGCGACCCTGCGGAGAATGTGCCTCAGTGACTTTTGAGAAGAACTTGGAACGTATTTCGAAGACCGCCAAGGAATTGCTCGAAAGAAGAAGATTTCTGAGGCAGGATCCGAATGCAACCCATCTCGAGCGACTGATAGCCAACGCCAGTTGCAGAACAGCTTTGCAAGAGGATCTCAGGAAGTACAGGCAAGCCAAAATACTGGAAGCAGCCGAAGGAAGACGAAGTCTTAAGAAATGCCGAAGGGACCTCTGTGAATATCACGTACCGCTGGCTGCACTATTGAACGAAGACGGAACTCCGACTTCTTCCGAGAACGTCAAGAACCGTCCTTCTTTTCAAGAAGGGTGAACGAGAGGATCTTCGAAATTACCGTCCAATATGCCTGCTGAGTGTGCTATACAAGCTTACGAAGATTATCCTCGCACTCATATCTAGGACACTGGATGAAGCCCAACCCCAAGAACAAGCTGGATTTCGCAAAGGATTCAGCTGCAT